GTTCTAAAATCTTAAATATTTACTGTTACAAAAATCCCTCTTGAAAATAATTTCTACTCTGGAAATGCAGTACAGAGAGACAGAGCCTCTTTGAGCTTTGAACATGAAATAGAACCTCTTTCAAAATTCATATTATTTTTCTATCCGTTTTTATTCCTTAACCTCTTTGGACATGCAATTTGGGCACTTTGATTTCTTCAACAGAAGGGAGCAGCGTTCCAGATAGAAATAGTCTTTGCTGCGATCTACATACAGTTATTTCTAAAGCCTTTAAATAAAAGCTACTATTCCAAGTTACTTTTGCTTGCCACTGAAGACATGCGAAGGGCATTAAGGTTATCGCAAGATTGATTTCCATTCCAGTTAGTCCATTTCCATATTTTAAATTTCTATTTCCTAAATCCTGATTGCCCATGACCTTCCTAGATAAGAGCTGTCACCCTCATTCCATGCCATTACAGGAGATGCTTACGTGTTGCATGAGTAAACTGCCCTTCAGTAAGGCACCAAGATGTATAAAGTGAAGGGAATTTGCTTGATCCACAAGCCACAGTGGTTCAAGTGGGTTGGGGAATATGCAACTTGGGGAAGATGAAACTAAGAATCAGATACCATTTTTATATCGGAAGGCTGGAGCACCTGTCCTACAAAGAAGAGAGCTGGGCCTGTTCAGCCTGGAGAAGAGAAGGCTCCAGGAAGACCTCATTGACATCTTCCAGTACTTATGGGAGTTACAAACTGGAAAGAGACTGACTTTTTACATGGTCTGACGGGGATAGGCAAACAGAAAATTGTTTTAAACTAAAAGAGGAAAGATATTAGATATTAGGAGGAAATTATTTACTCATTGATGGTGAACCACTGGCACAGACTACACAGAGAAGCTGAAGATAGCCCATTTTTAGAGGTTCTCAAGGACAGGCTGGATGGAGCCCTAGGCAGTCTGATCCAGTGGGGGAAAGCCCTGCCCACAACAGAGGGTTGAAATGGAATGATCTTTAAGGTCTCTTCCAGTCCAAGCCATTCTATGATTCAGTGCAAGAAGGAGCCCACTCTGCTCAATTTGCTCACTCTTCCAAATTTTTTGTGACAGTCAAGTTCAAGCTCTGAGTGATTTCAAATAAGATCAGAAGTTAATTGACTTAGATAAAGAGATATTTCTTTGCAAGGCCCATGTATTTGTCCATTTCCTGTAGATAAAGAGATGATGACCCATGTATTCCACACAGAAACTTTCTTTCCTTTCCCTCTCCCTTCTCTACATGCTAGTGAGGATTTATGGTTTATCTCCAGATTTTGATCCCAGGTTTGGTCCTCCTAATTTCTATTCTCTAAATAAAATTCCCAACTGCTTTAGACATTCTTCTCTTAATCCCGCTTTGTGCATCCCGCCACTCTCTCATCCCATCTGTTCTTTTCAGCACTGCCAGCATCTCCCAAATGATGCCAATCTAGCTGGGAATGCAATGCTAAAAATGTCTCCGTGTCTGGAAAATGCCACTGTGACCTGTGCAACTAACTAATTATCTGCTTCTCCTCTGTGTCTACATACTGAGGAGGAAAGTAGCCAAACAGGCTGTTATAGAAGTTGGACAGACTTTTCCTTCATTGAACTTCTGTCCACTACATTTTGGGAATAGAAAAAATACAGAGATTGGCTATCACAGCGTCCTGACTCGTTAGCTTTCTTTTTGGTACCATTATTTTCATAATGCCAAGCAATGGAAATGATGTAGAATTAAAAGGCCTTTCAGTTTTCATTTTCTTGCTTTGTTAAGCTCTCGGGGGCAAAGTAATGTGAAGAGGTTGATAAGCAGTAATTTTGCCAAGATAATCAAGAAATCTAAGGAGTTCAGATTTGTCACTCTGCCACTAACCTGGTTTTTACATCATCACCTCACAAAGGGACCAGCTAATTATATCAGCACTTTGTCTCTCTGCATGAGGATTTCCTTCTGCAGCCCTAAGCTCTTCCAAGTTTGCAGCTACTGAACGAAACATGCAAAATGAGCACATATTTTCAGGGTGTAAGAAAATATTCTACAACACAGCAGTTTTAAGGAAAGAAAACAAAACCTTTTCTCCATAGAAAATGGATCTGATGATCAAATATTCTTTACCCAGGATGTACAAAATTCAGTGGTCCCAGTATTCTGAAACAGAAGTCCGGTCATTATTTTACTTTACATATAGCTGTAGAATCCCAAAGGCCTTTCAGTTAAAACAAACCCCAGAAGATAGGGGGCACTGTGCCTAACCAATGACAGAAGCATTAGTCTACATCAAGACTCCAGTTTTCCTTAGAAATGCATGAAAGAAATTAACAGCATCAGTCTGGGAATCATGAAAGGTAACTGTTCAAAAACAGCACAACTCAACATATTAGTAATTGAAGATATATGATTGCATCTAAATCTAAAAATCAGCTGTAAGAGTCAGTAATTCAGTGTTCCTGCTACAGCTAAGAGAAGCTTGCTATTTAATGTGGGAGCCATGCTGCAAATGAAGGATTCCAAAGCATATGCATTCATTTCCATGGAAATGCTTTGCATTTGCATTCTATTTAAAAGATTACTGGCCTAAGAATTCTTGAAACTGCTTATGAAATTGCAACATTCAAGTCATCCAGAGAGAATGCTGCATTCCAGGGCATGTCCTACAGAGTTATTTCAGGAGAATGACAACTTCTAGCACTGAACTGTGTGCTCATCAATTCTCCAGATTTTCAAAATATGACTGCTCAGCATTTTCAAAAAAGCAGACCCCAAGAAGTACTTTAGACTGGGCATTCAAAATTTAGGGCATGGATCATGATGAGACATTGAAAATATGAACGAAGTTCTATCTCTGCCATCATCTTAAAATGTTAATATTAAAAAAAATATATTACTGTGTCCCTACATTCAAACCACATCTGTGCCTCTACTAGTCCTGTGATGCAGAGAAGAGTTGTCTCAGCTCCCACCTAGCTGGGTTTTTTCCTACAACTGCTAGGAAAAAAATGCATTGATAGTGAGGGGGCCTTGACCAAAACAGAAGCATAAGGCAGACAGTGTAGGGATGGCAGTCCCATGCCCTACTTCCCCTCAGGCTAGACTAATGGCCTGATTTCCTTTATATTATTTGCCTTTTTAAATGATTACTGAATTTTTCTGTGGCATTCTCCAAAGATGTAATGAGATTACAGACTTTCTGTTCAAAAATTCTCAATATAACTGCAGCTGAAGACTTGATATCACTGTTCAAATTTGTCTATCTGAAAACTTCAGCTGAATATTATTATTCTGACAAGAGTTTTTCTAGACAGAGCTGATGAAATTTAACTGGAAAGCTACAAATGAAGATTCTAATCAATCTGCATTGTTAAAGGTTGACAAGGTGGATGAACATAGTGGTGCTTTCATCTACTAAATCTTTTGATCTTAATAAAGAACCAAATTTCTGGCCCAAGCTCTGTTTTCATGATGAAGAGAGAGCATTAATTTTGGTGAGATAAACATAGCATTTCTCAACATTTCTGCCCAGTGACAGGAGGTAAAATTCTACCTGCAGAGTTCTCAGATGCTCCACAGAGATTGCATTCAGGTTCTATGTTTTCAAGATAACTTGAGCCCCTGTACAGTCAATTACAAACTGGGAGAAAGGTCTATGTCCTCCAAGTAGTGGTTAGCCATGGGGAATAGTAAGAGTAGAAATAGATAGAGAAAATGATAGTAATTATGACAACTATATACATGTATATATTTATATATATGAATGTATATAACAAGTGATGCACAAGCAATTTCTCACCATCCTCCTACTGATGCACAGCTAGCCCTCTGAGCAGTGTAAGAGAGCAAGATGAACTCTTACCCCTTCAAAACTCCTCCCTTATGATACCATGTGGTCTGGAATACCCCTTTGGCCAGTTTAAGTCAGCTGTCCTGATTCTGTTCCCTTCCAGCTCCTTGTGCCCTTCACTCAGAATGGCCTTGGTTCTGCACAACACTGCTTAGCAGCAACTATAAACATTGGCACGTTATTAATACTGATTTTTTCCTAGAACCAAAACATAGCATCATACCAGACACTCTGAGAAAAACAATTCCATTCCAGATGACACTAAGAGGATCTGAGGATTGAAACAAGGTGAAGAATTGAGAAGACAAAGCTCAGGCAGAAAAGGAGATCTGAGAATGTTCTGGAGGGCTGTTGATTTTGCTTTCCAAATATATTCAGCAGTTCACTTGAAAATGCCAACATAAACTGTTCTGCCCCCATAGTGCAATATGTGAGCTTTCTCCCTCCCTTTTAAAATATTCAGAACTGTATTAGGAGGCAGATGAACAGATGAACCAGTGGCAGAGATAAAAGGAAAAGCGCAGCTGAGGTCAGAGGTGCTGATAACACCCACAGCTGGAGAAAGCTTCTTTCCTGACTACTTATCTACTTTATTAAGCTTTTGGTTTCATATTGCCTATCCTTTCTTCCTAAGATATTTGTGGTGTTACATCAGCCTCTTTGTGCTGTTACATCAGCCATGGTATATCCATACCTTAATGCAGGAGTGAAAGCCTCTAGTTACAGCAGAGGAAAAATAAGGGAAGGGTCATGGGACATAGCAGCATGGGACAAAACCACCCAAAAATAGCCTTAAACATGAGTGACAAGGAAGGATTGAGGTCTTTAATCCTGCTTTCTATATCTCACAATCTTGCAAATTACTGAGCAAAAAACTTCAGTCAGGTCATAGTGACACAGTTTTGCATTTGTGGAATTTAAAAGCCGCTCTGTAGCCCTGAAGTCTTTTGCTTTTCACATGCTTGCACAAGAACTCAGTACTGAAGAAGCTAACCCCAAACTACTTGGAAAGTATAATACATACAAACTCAAGTAATTGAATTCCACTTTGTCTCTAGAGTTCAAGAGGAAAAAGGATCAGCTTCTTTTCTTTTTATCTTCAAGAGGAAAATTTCTGCCAGGCTCCTCCATTAATAGACACACTTTTTCTTTTACAGCATTTTTGAGCAATGGTTAAGAAGACATAGACCCATGCTAGAAGTTTACCCAGCAGCCAATGCACCCATTGGGCACAATCGAGAAAATTATATGGTTCCCTTCATCCCTCTCTACAGAAATGGAGAATTTTTTATATCATCAAGGGAGCTGGGATATGACTATGAGTATCTGCAAGAACCAGGTAACTCTGCAATTTTAAGTAAATATCAAATTTGTTGTTTAACTCATGGAATACGTCTGCAGAATGACAATATGTTTCAATATTGCCTATGTATATGTAATACAGATATAAATCCTTCTATTTCTTATTGTTTCATATTTTAGTTACAAACTGTACATGCATGTTTTCACATTTCTCATCTGGTCGTACACAGAGCCAACCTGACTCTATTAGAAAAGTCCCAGTCAAAAAGGAATCACTGACATCAGTCGTATCTATCCTAGCCTCATTATGATCAGAATGTGGTCCGAAGGATCAAAGTATGAACAGAACAGGGGAGAAAAATTGATGGATTTTGAATCTGCTGTTTGCCCAGCTCAGCTTATATCGTGTAACATAGAATGGCCTGGGTTGAAAAAGACCACAATGATCATCTAGTTTCAACTCCCCTGCTATGTTCACCAAGCACCAGATCAGGCTGCCCAGAGCCACATCCAGCCTGACCTTCCAGGAACTGATCCCCTTTCTCTCCCATTCCCTACTGCATGAGGATGATCCACAGGGCAGCGGCAGACACTCAGCAGCTCCAGTGGGATTTTCAGGTTCTGGATGTCCACTGGTTTAACAGTGGACAGAACCAAAGCTCTCCTGGCTTACAAAAGTAATAAAATTGATCTCTTAAAGGCTCAGAGAAAAATTCATCTCAGTACCAAAGGCCAACGCAGTGTTCATGCAGCACTTTAAACAGCAATCTATTGACACTGTGCTTGTCATGTGGTCATTTATACAGAGCACAACAGAATCATTCATAATGTTAATTTCACTTACTCAGATGGATTTTGCTGTCATTGATAATATTTATGACTTCCATTGCTATTCAGAAGTGGTTTTGACTTGGGTGTCTTGTCCACTCTCAAGTATATAGAGAGGGAAGAGACCTTTGGGGAACCTCCAGTAGGGCAGGTCATGCACTTAGGGCACGAGATTTTGTGGTTTTTAGTCTCCTTATTGTTTAATGAAAGAGCTACATTCTGCTAAAGATATAAAATTACTTAGTATCCAAAAGATAATATCCACTCATGCTGTGGGATGCAGTAATCTTTGCAACGCATTGGCAAAAGCGCCAGGGACATTTTAACAGTGCTAGCATTCCACTTTTTTTCTTGTTGTCTTTATCAAAGCACTATCAGTTATCACAGCATCTCTGTATTTCAATACAGTTTGCTTACTAGTGGAGATGTACAGTTTTGCATACTGTGTTAAACTGTGACATTAATTTATTTTCTTTATTCAATTCTCAAGTAAAATCTAGCTCATGATTTACAATCATCCAGCAAATGCATTTTTGGCTATTTTATAACTACGGAATCTTCTCTCCTAGATTATTGTTAAGGTCTTTTATTAATATACTACTGAGACGAAAGTCATTATTTCCCGTAATACTCTGTAACAAAATTTGGCCAACTCTATTTATTCAGAAAGAAAACAATCTAATACGTGTTTCATATATAGTCTCAAAGTTATTACGTATTTTTGTCTGATTATAAGCATTTCTATGCTTTTGTTCATGCCACCATAATTTAATTCCTGACCATCAAGACTATAAATATATATATATATACAAATGAAAACCACTAGTTTCTGAAAACCACATTATTCCTAGAATCGTACATCTGAAAATGTGCCACGTACTGTGACAGCCAGAAATATTGAGTTCTGCATGGGTATTGCACAAAGAAGCAAATAGTAAATTATTTACCACTTAGCAATTCATTTCTGTTGCCTTCTGATCTCTTGCCTTTTCCCAGGGGAGCACTTTCCTTAGAAAATGAAATTCTTATTAAATTTGGTCTCTGTTTCTAATACAGAAGCAAGGAAAGTAGCTTCCTAATTATTTTGAAAGATCAACACAAAGAGTGAAATTCAAACTCATTTGGAAAGCCCAGATAGTCCCCAGACGTTGCTCAACCCCTTATTAATCTCACTGAGAAGATGAGAGCTAAAGCTATTTCTCATCTGAAGGAAGGCACTAGTTACAAGTGGAAAATGGCCCAGAATCTCAAAATACAGAGATGGATTTTCTTAGTATTTCAATGTTTACACCCGGGTTGTTCTCTAGAGAGGAATGACAGGTTCTGGTTAAGAGACATAAAAGTGAACAGGAATTTCTTAGAGGAAGTGAAGTGAGAAAGCCTGCTGGCTCCCTCAAAATCTCTTGTGTACTCAAGGATGTACAGAAAGTGTATGCCTTGCAAGCCAGGAGTTACTAGACAGACAGGAAAAAAATATAAAGGAAAAAAGATTATTAGCAATGAAAATCTGTGTAGTCAGTAAAAGGTAGCAGATCCTCGAAATGAGGAGAAAAAGGAAAAAACAGAGGAACGGGGAACAGGGCAGAGTAAGCTGATTTCAGTAAAAGCTGAAGCAAACACCCAACTTTGCTTGACATGAGAACCATGAGCTGCAAAACTACCACAGCTGGCATGGCTTACTGAAAATGAGCACTCGCTACTATCCACAAAAAAGATTTGGAAGAATAAGAATTTTCCCATCAGAAAGAGCAAACTGAAGTGATATTGCTGCTATTAGTCATTAATGGAAGTCTAGATTTCATGCATCAGCACAACTTTCCTTCCTCTGGCTTTGTCATGAACATAAAGGATAGCTGTAACTGATGTTCATGGCACTTTCCTGGGAAGATTATCTTTTAACTTCAAACAGCAACACAAAAGGAACAGAGTTGGCATTGGCTAATATCTCTCATTGCTTTTGTTCCTCCCCCCCCCCCCCCCCCCCCCCCCGACACTTTTCCCAGGTAGTTGTCAGCAAATACAGTCACAGCACTTTTGGGTCTTTCACAGTTAGAGAGATTAAAGCTTTATGGAAATGGACTCCCTGAAATGCCACTTTGCAGGATTTCTGCTGGGCAGCCAGGACAGTCCTACATTTATGGTTGTGTCACATTCACAGGTTACAGATTGCAGGGTGACTCCATACTCTGACACTCAAGAGTTAACATGACAACTTTATGATAAAGAACCCAAGCATCTTATGTGCAGCAAAAGTAGTAGGAAAAGGTAGTGGATGGCAAGAGGTGGCTGTTGGCTTTGAGCTAGTTACAGAAACTGTACAGACTGCGGCTGAATGCTGGAGGAAGGCATGTTTAACTGACTATCGGTATTTAAGAAAATAATTAGTTTCTCCTCCTATGAGAAGTGACATCTCTTCATCTCAAAGTCATGCTGTGTGTTACCAGGGAGAAGGTAGCTTAGGTAGCTTGTGGGAGAGAAAGACTGTTGTTTCTGTTTCACAAAGGTGATCAGAGGGCCAGGACACCTCCCCTGCAAAGACAGGCTGAGGGAGCTGGGCTTGTTCAGCCTGGAGTAAAGAAGGCTGCGGGGTGACCTCATTGCAGTTTTCCAGTACTTAAAGGGAGACTACAAACAGGAGGGGAATCAACTCTTTGAAAGGGTAGATAACAGCAGGACAAGGGGAAATGGTTTTAAGTTGAAGGAGGGGAGATTTAGGTTGGATGTCAGGGGGAAGTTCTTTACTATGAGAGAGGTGAGGTGCCGGAACAGCTGCACAGAGAGGTTGTGAATGCCCTGTTTATCCCTGGAGGTGTTCAAGGCCAGTTTGGATGGGGCTCTGGGCAGCCTGGTCTAGTATTGAATGCAGAAGTTGGTGGCCCTGCATGTGGCAGGGGTTTGGAGCTTCATGATCCTTGAGGTCCCTTCCAACCCTGGCCATCCTATGTTCTGTTGAAAGACAGCATACAGGTATAGGAAGCCACACAGAAATCTATATCACAGATAATTTCAGCTAGGTGGGGAATCTTGTGATATTTTCCTTTTTTCCTTACCACAAAAAACATATCTGTTATGTATCAAGCTTCTTCTGTGATATGCACCCTCCATTATGAATACCCAAATTATTTCTAATTTGGTCTTGTTTGCAATATGAACATAAAAGAGTTGTATTAAAAAGCACTGGGATTATGGAGTAAAGCAGACAGAGTTAGGAACTATCAGAATTGAAGTAGTGCTTTTAAAGTGAAAACACCCTCCAGCCCTGTATATATGCATTACACACCACTTTCTCCCTAGTTCCCCACCTCACTCACAACCTAGCCAGAATTTGCTAAAAGCAGATGCCCAAACCTTTTCGCTGTTGGTTGTCTTGTTCTCAGTTAGAGCAGTATGTAGCCTAATGTAAGATTAACTGCACACCCTTAAAATAATATCTTGAAAATGTGTTCTTTAACAATTTGTTGCCAGTCACCATAGCAGCTGTGTTCTACAGAAAATACTGATTTGTATTCACAATATGGAGGATTCTGTGAATGGTACTGTCCCTCCTTGTTGGACAGAGCAGAACTGAGGGATTAAAAAGAAACTGTATGTCATACACAGAGGTTTGTGGAGTTCATTCTGAACCATCAAAAACTTTTCTTTTTTAAAAAAATTCTTCGTGTTATATAGCATGTATATATGTCTAATGGGGTCAGAAGTCTGAATATGCATACTCTTACAAATCCAACCTCAGAATACAAAGTGGGATTCAAAGGAAAGTACGGACTTGAGAAGTAACACCAGAAGTGTTCCCCAAAGTGAAGCTGAGCTGAAAGGAAACCAACTGTGTTCTGCCTAAACTCAGCCTAAATTGAAATATATCTAAGAATTTGATTGAGGCATCAAATGTTGAGTATAGGTCAGCATTAATAGTTCTACAAACTAAAATATTTTCATAGCAGTTACTAAACATCATGTGTTCAAAAGCACCAAGAAGATACATGGGATTACTTCTATGGGCACCAGTGAAACTGGAAGATGGTAGAAAAATATAATGTCTGGAGGTGTACCAGAATTACTGGAGGCTGAGTATCACTTCATGAAGGACTGTGATAGGTATAATCTGTTCTTAAACTCCTCCTTGTACTCAGTCTCAGTTACCGTTACCAACAGGATGCTGACCTAGCAGGACCTTTGCCCATGCTGTATGAGATCTGACAAACCCTTGAGAAGGGTCTGCTGCGATAGGACAAGGAGAAATGGTTTCAAACTAAAAGAGGAGAGATTTAAACTGAATATAAGACAATAGTTTTTTACAATATGGGTTTTGAGGCACTGGAACGTGTTGCCCTGAGAGGTGGTGGATGTCCCATGCCTGGAGACACCCAAGGTCAGGCTGGATGGGGCTCTGAGCACTGGATGGAGCTGTAGGTGTCCCTGTTCATTGCAGGGGAGTTGGACTAGGTGGCCTTTAAGAGGATATTTGAACTCAAACTATTCAGTGATTCAACAATTCTTGCTTTCTATTCTTACAGTTTTCACAAAACCATAAATAGCACTGGAAATAGTAAACTCAATTGCTGTCAATTTCAACACAAAAATGGAGAAACTTTAAGGACTGGTAGAATTTGCTTAGAATTGTTTGTAACCTTCAGACGATTTTCTTCACTTTAATAATCATTTTTCACTCTGAGCCTTCAAATATTATCTGTTACACAATCTGTATACACTGGAACTGCATTGCATCATTAAAAGGACCTCTGTTTTTCTCCTTTCTAGCACTTGGTTCTTTCCAGGACTTTTTAATCCCCTACCTCGAGCAAGCCCGTCAGATCTGGCCCTGGCTGGTCGGCGCAGCTGTGATCGGAGGCATAGTTACTGCTGTGCTCTCTGGGCTCATCCTGGCCTGCAGAAAGAAAAGAGCAGGAACTTCTCCAGAAATACAACCCTTACTCACAGAAAGTGAGGATTACAACAATGTATCTTATCAATCCCATTTCTGAAGACCTCCAGTATCTCAGTGATGTTTCTAAGGTGCTAGTCAAGCATGCAGTGTTTATGTTTACAATGACCTTGTTAAGCTGTGCTACATAAGCTGGCTGGGCTGTCCTACTCCTTGTGCCTCTTGTAACATCCAGTGTTACAGTACCTTATCAGCTCCAGTACTCCAAGATCTCTCATATTCAACATGTTACCATGCCACCCAAGGAACAGAGTGTATTTCCAATGCTTGATTAAACAATGCTCCTGTTAATCTGACTGGCTTCTGTGTTGCTTACTAAAATGTATAACTCTCTGATCTTTTTTACTCTGTTATACCCATAGGCTCCAATCCCATAGCCCAATTCATGTGAAGAAATTCACAGGGCACGCATAGGTGCAGGGATTTAGTGACAGGAACTCGATTGCAAGATCAGTGCTACATTCACCCTGGTGTTCAGAGCCCTTTAGTTTTAGTGAGAGAAATGTGTTGTCTCTGAGCAGAGTGAATGATCCATGGACACATTTTTCTTTCAGGGTATAAAGATTTTCCCTCCAGCTACAGTAATGCACTGTTTGTCCATGATGGAATGCCATCAACAGCAGCAAGTGGGCTCTAAGGAACCACTTCTCACTTGTCTCAAACGTTCCAGTTATTCTTCTGCTAAACCATTTTCCATTTGTTTGGGGTGCAGAGGGTTTTTTTCAGAGATGAAACCTAGCCTCACTATATACACCTCTCTTCAGTTTGACTTAGGGATGCTCAGGTTATGGCTGACTTACGATTTCTCAATAGGCACAAACTTCATACAGACAATTCATACATGATGAAACAAGGTATGTAACTACATGACAAGTTTTAAATTAAAATAAATAATAGTTTTCAGAGACGGTGACTCCAACTGACTTTAGTTCCAAAGCTTTTCTCAAGCAAAATGTAAGTCACGCAGTAATCTCTGAGATTTGGCACTGATAGCTAGCCATGTTCTGATTCCCAAGTGATGCCGTCCATCCCTACCTGATCTTGTGTGGGTTTCTCACAAGCTGTAGCTCTCCCAGCATTGCTCCAGCATGTCTCCATCCCATGGGCCCACCTTTCAGGTAGTGCTCCAGTAGTTTGCAGATGACACCAAGTTGGCTGGAAGTGTTGATCTGCCTGGGGGTAGCGAGGCCCTACAGAGGGATCTGGACAGGCTAGATAGCTGGACTGAAGCCAATGGGATGAGGTTCAACAAGACCAAATGCCGGGTCCTGCACTTTGGCCACAACAACCCCAGGCATCACTACAGGCCTGGGGCAGAGTGGCTGGTAGACTGTGTAGAGGAAATGGACCTGGGGGTATTGATTGGTGCTCGGCTGAACATGAGCCAGCAGTGTGCCCAGGTGGCCAAGAAGGCCAATGGCATCCTGTTTTGCATCAGGAACGGTGCTGCCAGCAGGAGCAGGGCAGTGATTGTCCCCTGTACTCAGCTCTGGTGAGGCTGCACCTTGGGTTCTGTGTCCAGTTTTGGGCCCCTCACTACAAGAAAGATATTGAAGCCCTGGAGCAGGTTCAAAGAAAGGCAACAAAGCTGGTGGAGGGGTCTGGAACACAGGCCTTATGAGGAGCGGCTGAAGGAGCTGGGATTGTTCAGCCTGGAGAAGAGGAGGCTCAAGGGAGACCTCACTGCTCTCTATAACTACCTGAAGGGAGGTTGTAGTGAGCTGGGGGTCGGCCTCTTCTCTCGTGTAGCTGGTGATAGGACTAGAGGGAATGGCTTCAGGCTGCGCCAGGGGAGATTTAGGCTGGATGTTAGGAAATACTGCTTTTCTGAAAGAGTGGTCAGGCAGTGGAAGGGGCTGCCCAGGGAGGTGGTGGAGTCACCAACCCTAGAGGTGCTCAAGGAATGTTTGGGCGTTGTGTTGAGGAACATGGTGTAGTGAGAACTATTGGTGATATGTGGATGGTTGGACTGGATGATTTTATAGGTCTTTTCCAACCTTGATGATACTGTGATTCTGTATCCACGGGCTGTGTCATCTCCAGGCCTCATCCACTGCTGCACTGTGGGCTCCTCCATGGCTGCACACACAGACCTGCTCCCTGTGGTGCCCATGGGTTACAGGGAACAGCTGCTCAGAGTAAACATTATATTTATACGGATCACTAAGGAAATAGGAAAAGGAAAGGCTCATAAGTTTTCTCAAAGAGACAATACAAGCAGAACCAGCAAATGCATTTATAAATCAGAAGATTTTATTCTGAGAAAGCAGGTGGTGTAGATATTCACTTGTCCAGAGCTGTGGGGAGTTTCCATCTGTCTGTGAAGCCATGGTGAGTTACAGTCTGGGTCTGTGTTACCTTGTCCTTAGGTTCATGCCTTCACAGATGGCTGCAAAAACCTCAGTCAGAGTGGCTGAAGAGGCTGTGGGCAGAAGGGGCCTGTGGCGTTCAAAAACAAGAAAATCTGAACCAAGATAAGGAGCAGTAACCCTCCATTCCCATGGGTAGCCCTTACCTCAGTTCGAGTACATCAGTTCTATGTCTTCCGGCAGCCAGAGGACACGTGTTCTAACATGGGCTACCACCAGCTGGCTGCTTACTGTAACATGGGCACTGCTGCTATTTTGATTACTTAGCTTTATATGAATGCCATGTAAAGTGGAACACCTCCGTAGCTGAATGGCTAAGAACAAGAAGGTTTCATGCTTTGGCAATGTTCTCCTCAGGGTCTCCAGCCTTCAAAGACACAGAAAGAGAGAGCACAACCCATTCCATGACAACCACACATGCTTCCTAGATCCAGAGCCCAGCCCTATATTTCCCTCCCTCTCTGTGCTTCCTGTTTTCTTATCACAGCATTTCACCATCCACCAAAACTCCAATGACCTGGGCTGGCAGACAACTGAAGCTGTTTCTATGATCACACTATGCTGGCCATTACACCAATGCATGAGTGATTAAGAGAACTGCCACACATCTGCCTGTTCTGACAAGACCACGGCACCACTGTGACAGTTGCCAGCAGCTCATGCCCGAAAGTCCAGCCAGGCTGGTAATATTTTGATTACATACCATTGTACTGATGTCTCTGTGGGAAGTGGAACATATCTCCAGCTGAGCAGCAAAAAACAAGAGGTTCCTTGGTCTGGTCACAGAATCACAGAATCACAGAAATCACAGAATCACAGAATCACAGAACGGCCAGGGTTGGAAGGGACCTCAAGGATCATGAATTTTCAACCCCACTGCCACATGCAGGGCCACCAACCTCTACATTCAATACTAGACCAGGCTGCCTAGGGCCCCATCCAGTCTGGCCTAGAACACCTCCAGGGACGAGGCATCCGCAACCTCTCCATGCAGCCAGCACCTCACCACTCTCATAGTAAAGAATTTCCCCCTGACATCCAACCTAAGTCTTCCCTTCTTCAGCTTAAAACCATTTCCCCTTGTCCTGCTGTTATCTACCCTTTCAAAGAGTTGATTCCTCTCCTGTTTGTAGGCTTTAGGTATTGAAATGCTGGCTTCAACAGATGAAGAGAAAGCTGAGGTGCTGAATGAGTTCTTCACCTCGGTCTTCACTGGTGGCCAGGATTCTAGTCTTTTTCACGTCCCTGAGCCCTGCATCCCCAAACCTCTATGTGGGGACCAAGGAGGTAAATCCCTCCCCACTGTAAGGGCAGAGCAAGTCCGAGAGTGCCTCCTTAGACTGAATGAATACAAGTCTATGGGGCCGGATGACGTGCATCCCAGGGTCCTGAAGGAGCTGGCTGAGGTGGTTGCCGAGCCGCTCTCCATCATATTTGAGAAGTCGTGGCTGTCAGGTGAGGTCCCGGATGACTGGAGGAAGGGTCACGTCACTCCCATATACAAGAAGGGGAGCAGGGAGGACCCGGGGAACTACAGGCCGGTGAGTCTCACCTCCGTGCCTGGGAAGATCATGGAACAGATCCTCCTGGACAACATGCTCGATCACATAAAGAATGAGCATGTGATCCGAGACAGCCAGCACGGCTTCACCAAAGGAAGGTCATGCCTAACTAATCTTGTGGCCTTCTATGATGGAGTGACGGCATTGGTGGACGAAGGGAAGGCGACCGATGTCATTTACCTGGACCTGAGCAAGGCCTTTGACATGGTCCCCCACCACATCCTCATCTCCAAATTGCAGGGAAGTGGATTTGATGGGTGGACCATGTGATGGATAAGCAATTGGTTGAAAGGCCGCAGACAGAGGGTGGTGGTCAATGGCTCTATGTCCAGGTGGAGGCCGGTAACAAGTGGTGTCCCCCAAGGGTCTGTCTTGGGACCGGTGCTCTTTAACATCTTTATTAATGACATCGATGAGGGAATTGAGTGCACCCTCAGCAAGTTTGCTGACGACACCAAGCTGAGTGGTGCGGTTGATACGGTGGAAGGAAGGGATGCCATTCAGAGGGACCTCGACAGGCTGGAGGGCTGGGCTCGGGTGAACCTAATGAGGTTCAACATGGCAAAGTGCAAGGTTTTGCATTTGGGCCGGAAGAACCCCAGGCACCCGTACAGGCTGGGAGGAGTGGTCCTTGAGAGCAGCTCGGCAGAGAAGGACCTGGGGGTCCTGATGGACGAGAGACTGAACATGAGCCAGCAGTGCGCTCTGGCAGCTCGAAAGGCAATTGGGATCCTGGGCTCCATCAGGAGAGGGGTGGTCAGCAGGGAGAGGGAGGTGATTGTCCCTCTCTACTCGGCTCTTGTGAGGCCCCACCTGGAGTACTGTGTCCAGGTGTGGAGCCCTCAGTACAAGAAAGACAGAGAGATTTTGGAAAGGGTCCAGAGGAGGGCGACTAAGATGATCAGGGGGCTGGAGCACCTCCCCTATGAGGACAGGCTGAGGGAGTTGGGCTTGTTCAGCCTGGAGAAGAGAAGGCTGCGGGGTGACCTCATTGCAGCCTATCAATACCTGAAGGGAACCTACACCCAGGAGGGGAGTAAACTCTTCAAAAGGGCGGACAACAGCAGGACTAGGGGAAATGAATCCAAGTTGAGGGAGGGAAGATTGAGGTTGGATGTTAGGGGGAAGTTCTTTACAAGGAGAGTAGTTAGGCCCTGGAACGGGCTGCCCAGGGAGGTTGTGGATGCCCCGTCCTTGGACGTGTTCAAGGCCAGGTTGGATGGGGTCCTGGGCAACCTGATCTGAATGTGTATGTTTGGTGGCCCTGCTAGGCAGGGGGGTTGGAACTACATGATCCTTGAGGTCCCTTCCAACCCGGGTGATTCTGTGATTCTGTGATTCTGTGAAATGC